CAGTAAATCCTCCGCGGCGTTCCGTCATCACCCGAGTGGGGTGTCGCGAGTATCCGGCCGTAGCCTTAGACTTCCTACCAGCTACATGTGTGCTTAAGTCAGAAATTATTACTATTCGAAATTACAGCCATATTACATCATAAATTATATGGCAACATAAAAATAAATAATAAATGTGAGGATTGTTAACAATAATGGTATTCCATTGAAGCATTCAACGTGCTTCTGATTACTAGCCAGGATAGTTATTATCAGACCCGCATACCTAAGATTGTTTTCTATGGTCAGGCAATAATACAAGTAATTTACCTGTTTTGCGATAGATATACATTTTATTTAACAACAATATTGAACTCTAGATTTACATAAAAGCCTGTTTAAGAATAATGAAGATGATACAAGGAAAGAACGAGAGACAATCCGGCTCGAAGGACCATAAAATGGGAATGTCGGATGCGGAAAATGCGATACTCTGCCGACTAATTAAAGAGGATTCACCGGACCTTCCAAGGATAGTTGTTAGAATTTAGCTTTTCAGGCTGGATAAGGTTGTTGGTACTAATTATTAATTAAACAAAATTTAATAAATGTTTGATGATTTTCTGTTAAATGGCGATAAAACTGTCAATTCTGGTATGAAAGCAAGAAGTAGGACACGTCCCTGATCATCTACTATTTCAACTTCTATCACGAAAAATATTTATATGATCGGTCAAGTTATTTGAAGAATTTTATTGTTATTGTGTGTGAATGTTGAGGTATTAAAGTAAACTATGCTTTGTATTTTCCAATGCACGTGTCGACTTGTGATATTACTGGTAGCCTCACATTGTATAATGAATTATGGCAACACCAGGAAGACGCCTTTAATTATCGTCGTGCCGCTAAATGTGACAGTTTGTAGATAAATCTGTTATAAGTCCGTCACCTGCTAACCTCTAAATACCAGACTCGGGAAAAATCTATTTTAATAAGTCTTTAGGTACTAGGCCAGTGGGCAGGGAGGGAGTCAGATAGCTCATAGAGCTGATGGCCGTTGGGGGAGAAAAGTTCTCGAATGACGACCACGAGCCGGGAAGACATAGTCTTTTGGTCTCCCTTTAGGCTTCCCACTAGGACCTTGTGACCAGGTGGACTGACCAGTGAAGTTCGCGGGAAGAACCTGAATACGGTGAAGGAGCGTTGTTTGGATTCTTGGAGGAAGCCTTTGTCCAGCCAGTAGTGGACATCATTTGGCTTAAACGAACGAATCCAAACTTGATGAATTTGTCTAGCTACAGTGTTGTAGACAATTTTTGAGGCAAGTTAACAACAATTGACGCATTTCTACTTACACAGGTGACTGAATTTCAGTCGACAACATTTACGTATGGCTCATTAAATCCTGTTAAACACAACCTGCATCGGAACATGTTGATTGGCGGTCGTTACATGAAACGACAACATAATGCATGCGTTGTCACAGCTGCATTGTGTCTGCTAGCTACAAACGGAGAACAGATTGGGTGTGTACATATAATTAATATCATCTCCGAAAGATGAAAACGCTTATTGACATAGCGAGTCTATTTTAGAATGAAATGGAATTAAAAATCTTTATTAGGTTTCGACCAAAAGGCGCTAATATCAAATTAATAAGATAAAGGGAGGGACCTTATCTTTTGAGCCTATTATAATTTTCGGTAATTGGTAAGGTAACAATATTTTAAAATCATAACTGTTTAGATATATCGCGGGTAGAGTATGATGGGATAAACAATATAATTTTAACAATGTTTTTATTGTAACTGAAAACTGCGTTTAATATTACCTATTATAATAAAAATATTATTGCTTATTGAATGTAATTTATTGCTCTTATTGAAAACCTAGTTCGTTACCTAGGTGTTCTGACCACAACAAGACCTTGGCCGTCCCCATAAAAATAGTATTGCTGCAATTACGCTTTTAAAACCCCTCACATCTCCCGACACTATACTTAACCCTTCTAGTGTAAGCAAACAATAAATCAACTTTCAATATAACAGATACAAATACCATTACAGTCAGCACCAAATAGTTTGTGACACCCAGAAGCCAAAAAGTTGTTAACTTTATTCCAATCATAACAAAAACGTGTTGCGAACTTTTTGGCTACTTTGGAGTTTGGAAGTCACGAACTCTTTGACGCTGACTGTACCTACCTTGGGTTCTAAATTCAGTGAGACCTAATGATGTCACTAATATGCATTGCCGACTTTGCCTGTATACTTGTGCATAATTCCATGTCCAATGTCTTTGAACTGGGTCAGCATGTGCTCGTGTGCCTTCTTACAAAATCGCTTCATTAGCACAGGATTCTTATGATGGACATAAGAGAGGTAAGATTTCTTTCATTAAAGTTTCAGTGGGGTCACTAACTGGACTATTCCCACCTCTCGTTCCCACCACTGCAACTCCTGTGTAGCCAGGATCTACAGCTTGACCGTCACAAAAACCCAACCAATGAAGGTCAAGTTAGTCCCGGGGGAAAGTTAAACTGTCATTGGACCCGCAACGAAATTAATCAGAAGAACATAGGAGGAGTTCACTATCTTGGGGGTATATTATTGGGGTTACTATCTTTCGTAAAAGTATTTCTATCTTTTCATTTCTTGTCTTGTGAGGTGTACAATAAAGTGTGATCCATATACGGCCTGAGTTCTGCCTTCTTCTGGAGACAAACTTCGATCTGCGAAGAATAGGCAATACCAATTAAAAGCTTGCTTATACATGGAAGGCTCAGTTGCAGTTGGAAAAAGAGAGCTCTAATGCTCGGAAACATAAGAAGAGCTTTGGTGAGAGACGAAATCAAAGATTGTGAGCCATTAATTATTTTAAACAAACTTTGGTACGTTTAGGACTATACAATCAATGTTACAACACAGTATTGTTCATAGCCACAAAACAAAATCCTCGTGTTAATGCAAAGTTACGGAGACAGAGCACGATGTGCCAATAGGGTCAAAAGACGAACGCCCTTTTCAAAATTGCGACAGACCGAAGATCGTTCTTGAGTTCGATTCTTGCCGTGGAGACACTTAGAAAGTGGCGCAGGGCCGCTTTCGTTACCGTGTAGGCTTACCTATGTGGTCAGGTGTTATGTTATTCTACAGGGTGTTAGGCAAATGGGGTTATAAGCGTCAGCAGCTAGTGTCAACTAGCCCATGTTAACATGTGCATATAAATGGTACGGTGAAGTCATAAAATTGATATCATCATTTAATTTTTTTAAATTTTCATACAAAATAAAAATTTGTAAAATCAGATTTGTATGAAAATTAAAATAATTAAAATTATGATATCAATTTTCTGACTTCACTATACCATTTATATCCATTATGTTAACATGGGCTAGTGTCGGCTTATAAACCCATTTACCTAACACCCTGTATAATGTTAACGCCCTAGTGACGCCAGTAATCCGAAACATTGAATCTCTTCATTGAATCTCTTTTGTCTCCGCGTACTTTTTGTCTTAAAGGTTTATTTATAGGACCTTAGCCTAGGCGCAGACCACCGACTTTTAGTTGGCCGATAGTTGGGCCCGATTTTAATTTGTATGAAGAATCGGCCGATACCAAATCGGTGTAATGTGCCCATTTTCATACATGCCCATCATACTGATTAACAGCCCGACCCAACTACCGGCCAACTAAAAGTCGGTGGTCTGCGCCTAGGCTAAGTCACCTACTGGTCCTTCGTTTTGTTGAGCTCCTTCTTTCTCTGAATTAATATTCGCGAGTCCGATTCACTTCATTGCAATTCCGATGAGTTTAATTTGATGTCACTAGAGGTACCTGTGTAGTTAGGATTTATTTTGGCCTATGTTCAGTTCTGAAATGATGATGATAATTATTATTACTTTAAGGTCCATTCCATATACCATAATTGAGTTGCTGTGGCGAAAACCAGAGGTGAGAATAGTCTCAGGAAATAGAGGCCATCAGAACAAATAAATTATAGTTTACTTGCAAGTTACTAAGGGGCCATTTCAAGGTGAAAGTGAATAGGCACTTACAGGGCAGATAATGTACCATACCATCCTACACTGCATCTCACTTAACAGGTGTGATTGCGGTCAAATACCTGCCTTGTCTTGCATAAAAAAAATTGTGGCATAATATTATAAGTATTAAGGTATTCTTGATATTAAAAGTTTCTTAAAAGATTTTAAGATTCCTTGCCTTCGCAAACATTAGTACTGTCAGTACTACAAATACAAATATATTTTATTTAAACAAACACACCATTTGCACATGTACCTACATTCAAATTCAATTAAAAAAAATGTGGTATCTTTATTTAGTAAACAAACATTACTAAAGTTAGGATTGGCATGATTAATCTATAATTACACATTTTTTCCTTAATGTGTTTCATCATCAGGTCAATTAATTTCCACTGCAGGAGCTTTAATTTAAATAAAATATAAAAATGTAACCAGCGGAATGACCCTACTTAGGTATTTATTCATTTATTCAATCAATTACACCAGATAAAAAGGATTTATAGTAATTCCTTCTGCTGACGAGACAAGGATCAAGATACCTCATTTGAATGGCTTAATGTGTTGACAAAGATTGCCAAGTTGCAGAACTCATTAAAAAAAACAATTACTTCAAAACAGCAACAAAGTTAAAGGAAGTAATTCCACTCACTGTTAAAACTCATCAATCATTATCAGTTTAGATTAGACACAGGACATACACTAACTGCCCTGAACTCGCCCAATGATTTCCAGATTGGACAGTAAACATCATTGCTGTAGTAACACGTGTATTGAATGAAGATGATACCTACTTAATCATAAGACATCTATGTCTCGAACCCCCTTTGCTACATCCTAAGAACCATAGCCACATTAAATAAAACTAAAATATAGATAGAAATGAGGAGAAATTAAGAAATGTTTAGAAGGTATTTAAGTTAAGGAAATATATCATGCAGTCATTAAATCATGCTTTGTAAATTGTACTTACAAAAATCCTGAACCGGTAAATTATCTTAAAGCTTTGTTGTCTTTTTCTTCACCCCAAAGACCCAAATCACAGATTAGAGAGTATACCCAAATCCACCCACAACAAAAACATCAACAAACGAGTCAGATGTTTTACGTCAATGTCAAACTTTACATACTGCCAACATAAAAATCTTAATTTGTCAAAAGTCTTCCGTTCCGTTTCACGCTTTCACTTCACGGCGCTCACAAATACCTCGTAACGTTATCCATATAACGCTATCATTAACAATACAGATACGTCTGCAAATAAAAACTGGTTCTCTTTGAGGAAAATTAAGAGGCTTTTCTTAATCAATGTGTAGGTATGTAAGGAATGAGTTGATACCTACAGTATTGGAAAAACAAACCAATAACAATCTCATGTTTTTGAATTCTCTCATCCAGCTAGGTATTCCCCCATTGATTGTATGCAGGATTTATCCCGTGGCGTGGTTATCAAATTCAATCAATGTTTATTGGGACATCCGCAAGTAGATTATGAAATGTCGACCGATGCATACAAATACCTACGGCTACACAGCAATAAAAGGCTGCTTAAACTGCAGGCTGCAAGCTTACTCTACTAATCAGTTCCGGGCGGTTTTGTTCAAAAACTGTTAAGTCAGTTATTTCTGTACCTATTCTTATTAAGACTGATAGGGCTTTTAACATAAACAGGAGTCAGTGTCCTGATCCTGAACAAGAGATGAGAATGGTGATTTTAATGTTTGTATTTTTTTTCTTTTTCAGTCAGCAACATGGTTTTGAAGATTCGATAACATCAATTCATCCAACATGCTAGAAGTACCAGACAATGTGAGTATCATTTTAAATAATTATCTTGCTACTGATACTTAACTATTGTTAGGTAAATAATGCGAAGCAAAGATTGTTTGCTAAGTTTTAAAGCTTCCATGAAGGAATCGCTTATTCAAAAACAATTAATTTTGAACGAAGTCGCATATAGGTAATTATTCTTCCTTTGTTTTTGATTTTGTTTTAACGATCTGACGGTGTGACGGTGTGGGAGAGGCTTAGTGGCTGGTGATGAAAAATGTGTGGTTTTTTATTTTAATCTTGTTTCTCTTTTTTATATCACTGCACCTACCTATGTACGCTGTATTACTGTGCAGGAGACTGGCACCGGCTGAAAACCAGCGCTGCATGGACCTAGTGCCGTACAGCTTACGCTGAGCCGGATGCCCTTGTCACCTTATTTTTAATTGTTAAGCTGTGTTAAAGTTGTATTTTTTTTGTTATGGTGACAATAAAGGTTTATTTATTTATTTTATTTATTTATAATAAGTAGAGCCAGCATTATTATGATTATTGGAGTCGATACCATCCACCCCGGTCGTCGCGCCCGCCCCGTTAACGAGTCAGTTGGGAAAAATGTTTCATCGACCCCGTCCTTTAACGGGGTGGGTGGCACTATGTCTAAATGCCAGTGATGATGCATAAAAGGTACATTCACATAGGTAAATACAAGATAAACGTGTCGCGCAGCTCGCGCTGGTTTGTTTTCTCCGCAAAGACTGCAAAGAGCCATAAGTTTTTTATGTGCGTATGCGCAGTCCATATCACACAGTCACGCAGCCTCACGCAATAGCACGCTCGTTCTATCTGGAAATATGAATACATCCTTACATTGACCAATTATAGGTACCTTTCGATTGATATGATTAGAACGCTACCAAACGGCCAGTAAAACAAAACTGTCCATACTAATTAATTATACCTAACGTCTGCGACGATTGCCAGGCCAAACCTCACCTTAGGGCCAGGGCCATAAATCTTAAATTGCGTCCAAATATGTATTTCAACGCAACCAATCCATTTAGATAATAATAGTAACATTAGTGACTTGACTTTGGTGATTGGAGACCATCCAAAGCGTTAGTCCTCACCGTCCCTCTGTGCGATTAAATTGCGATTTTAAAAACATCTGCCCTTATTATTAAGGTAAATAATCGTGTGGTTGATTAATGTATCATTATTAACAATTTTGTGCGTGTTTTAGTGTTAGTGTAAAATACAATGGCCACAGTCACCAAGAAAATTTGTAAGCAACAAATCTATTGTGAGGTTAGTGAAAATTACCTACTGTTTTGTTTATTTAGTAACTTTTATAAAACTAAAAAAAAACAAACCAATTAGAGCGACTGATATAACGTTAAAACTTACTAATAGGTATATTAATTTATTTATCTTAATTAAAAAAAACTCGAAAAACTTATCCCGCTTAGGTAGAGTCACTAACACGTCACAGAATTGATTAAATTGCAAAAAATCAAATTACCTAACTTTCACAAAGTAAACAAACGAAAAGCCGTTGTGACGTAGTAGGTAGGCATTTACACAGATATACAGGGTGTTTGGTGTGGCATTTATCGATATACTTTTATCATTTACAAAATAGTTAATGAAACAAATTCACATTAAATTTGGCAATCGATTAATTTATTTTAATAAAAATGGATTACACATGTACACATATTGAAATATCTAATGAGTAATGATGACCATTTGATAGTAGTCGTTTATAAGTTACATTTCATAAACAAATTACTTAGGTAGGTATACCGATTTATAGAAAACCTGTTAAATATTTCAAATTTTTTGGTAGTTTTGCAATTTTGTTTTGTTGGCCCCGTGATGCTTCTAGATTTCGGTGGTCGCCAAGTTCGAATCGGTCTTAACAGTTTACCTGACTGTTAGAAAGTTATTCAAATGAAAATTATCTTATGTTTGACCCTACAAACAGAGGTCTTATAAATTAATCAGGACTTTTGACGCTATCCGTCGACTGGTACTGGTAGGTAAGTAAGTACTTACCTGACAGCACACTCATCCATCATGGCGTCTGACATGACTGTTACGAAGGGCTTACCCTTCAAAACATAGAATCATACTTAGGCTGAGTTGCACTACCTAACTTTGACCGTAACTATAACGATAACGGTGTCTTTTGTATAGAGTTTGACAGATTTTTGACCTTTGTCAAAGTAAAAATAAAATGGTGAAACCTTGGACGAATTAACCACGTCCAAGGGTGAAACCCAGACTTAATGGTTGACTCTATCTGGGAACAACAAGAGATTATACAATTTGTTTTCCTTACTTGAAAATCAAACCCAGGACAGCTGAAATAAGAAAGTCGAAGGCTCTAAATTAAAAAAATCGAAATCAAAAATATTTATTAAGTTTAAACCACAAGTGGCACTTATGAACGTCAAAATATAGTAAATAATAAAAAAAGAAAACCGAAAATCTAACCGAAAGACTGCAATCTTAGTGTACGGGCACAGAATACAAATTAGGGCATTGTGTCAGAAGGACATCATTTTTGGTCCATCTTACGTTTAGAGAACCTTTCAGTACACCGACCTGATATTAGATTGATCTCGAAGTTGTATTATCGAACAACAAAGTTGTAAACGTGTCATCATTGATAAATACTCTTCCGTAAACATTTAAGTAGGTCACGTAGAGCAATTAAGATGAAAAATTTGGTTTGCTCAAAAACTGTGTCGCACCTGTCTGCACCGCACGTCGCACACGACTGTACCTACCTACAATGCTATCTGAACTCAAATATTTACATGGTACATTGGCTACGACGCACCCAGGGTTGACAGAGAAAATTGCAGTCACGTGAAGCTGTCATACTTACTTAGGTATTTCCCTGTTTTCAAATATATTTTTATCGTTTGCTGTGGAAACACTTAGCTCTAATTGGTACCTACGGTCTGGCGAATGAGAAGTCTGTGACCGTTCACGGTTCTAAACCTATATGTAGTGGACATAAAGTAAGAAAGTGCTAGTAAGTATCTACCTAATACTAGGCCTAGAAAGAATGAAACCAGGAAAAAATATTTACTTTCACAAAAAACAAGGAATTTACAAGAACATTATGTAAGATACCCACTATGTAAAAAGGCTTATCTTTTATCACAGAGGATTTTATCATGACAAGTAGCATGTCAAAAGGTTTATTTAATAGGTACTTACCTATGTAAGAGTTCTCTAGACCGCTAGACGACGTTGTAATCTCCCAAATTGTATTGCTTAATTAAGTAGAACTCCTTCCCACGGACTTGTCTGTATTTTCAGGTATTTTCAGATAAGGCCTGAAAATGCTACAGATTCTGTAGCTAGCTGTCACTCATGCGAGCACTTTCAAAATGTATGTGGCATTGATCTAAGTTCCTTGTTCAAATGTTTCGACCCAAAATACAGGATGGACTTAGTTTCATTTTAGCTTCTCTAGTTTGGAATCGTGTCGATATCATAATGGGTACAACACTCTTCTTCTTCGGAAATTGTAACCTGAAAAAAATCTAAAAATAAAAAGAATCAAGTTTAAATAAATGAAGAACCCTTTAAGGGCAGCCCTACGATCCTCAAATATTCGCTACCGTATATTAGTTCCAATGTTAATTAGCTTTAGTTTCATAAACAACGCAGTCAGAGTAGGTAGGTGTTGAAGGTGTAGAGTGCATTCGGAAAATTCCAGTGAAATGGAGTGAGGGTAAGCGCAGAATTTTTATTCAATTTAACCGAAAATCAGTATCCTATAAGACAAATTAATTAATATCCAAGTGGTAATTTTTTGAAAACCATTAAATTGATTTTAAATAAACAGCTAAGAATTTCAGAATAATGGATTAAAATTCAACAGACAGAAAAAATATTTTTTGTCTTTTCTAGATGCATTGTGTAAAATTATAGAAGTTTATGAAACTGTAACTGAAACATTGTTGCTTCCGCCGAGTCTATTTTCACTTGGGAATGAGTATAGTTTATGCAACGCTTTGTTATGGTTCAGTAAACCGCCATATAAATGTTTGTTTATAAAAAAAGAAAGACATTATATTTAAAAAAATATGACAAAATTTATCCATTCAAGTTGCCTCACTTTTTTTTGCGCGTACTAACTATATCTTTTTTAAGTTTAGTACCAATTAACCTCCTCATTAAGCGTAACTAAGAAACAGAACTAATTTTATCACGAAGTATTCACTATTTTTCATTTAATGTGCTAGAAC